GTCACCTTCTAAGCATTATTCTAAATCTCTACTTTGACATTCCAAACTTACCCATAACTTACCCCAACCCAGCCTTTCCAGTGCATGACCAGATGTAATTGAAATAATCACATATTGATCCAGACTGAATGGCAAAAACAAAAAGTCCATGGCTTTGTTCTGGTCCTTCCCATATTTATTTGATATATACACAACATTTCCCCCATCCCAAAATATTCCCAGGGAACTTCCAAAATTACTAAGGACTTTTCATTCCTACTCCCCAAGTCAGTATAAATCAACCCACTATTTCCTGAAATGAAACGCGCTTCTGCATGGTTGACTGTTTATATTATAGTGGAATTAGCCAAGATGGCTGCCACCAAAAATCATGACTACTGTTTCTTGTACCCAGATTCTATAGAAATTAAGCCAGGAAAATAGGAATGCTAGCAATAAAAGAAAATGATTTTAATGCTTAACTAGTATAATATTGCTAAAGCACTTTAACACTGTGATTATAACTCCTGAATAAAAATTAAAAGGGCTCAATGGAAATTGGTAAAAGTCAGTATCTGAAATGAAATATCGTGAATCTATGAAACTCTCAGCCAGCAGGTTCTAGTGTCTCCCCAAACTACAAACTCCAGGTGATGGGGTTTGGTTTTTTTAAGTTTGGTAGATAGACCAGAGAAGGCCTATAACATTTGTTTAAGTGCTCCAATTGGTTTTCCTCTCTCTACTGTATTACACACAAAAATGGGAGGCTATTCCACTCCTTATTCATCCTACATTTAAACTTATTTCTAAAAGTCTTCAACTTCTTTTGCACAGTTAATCTCAAAGGTGCTACAAAATGCCTTTGCATGGTGATATTCCAGACAAACACAGCTATGCCTCTGAATTCTAAGAGACAGTGAGCCATGATTCATGTCATGTATTTTATTGTACTACAAATCCAGGGGTAGCCATGTTGATTCCAAACTCCATCTTATGGTGATAGCTTTTTAAATCCATCCCCAAAAGCACAGCATTCATGTATGGCATTGCTATTCATTTGTGTTGTTTCTTTTATCCTATATGCCACCAAGGAAGGGTTCTATTCTTGCAGGTGGTCTGCAAATAGTTTAATGAAACAAATAAATGACTGTGACACTTCAGTGCATTCACACAAATGGCTACCATGATGGACTCCAAAAGTTCATCCTTTCTCCCAGTTCACCATATCAATGGTTCTTCAGAACAAGTAGGTAACAAAGAGAAATTCACTCTAAAATGCCTTGCCTTAGAAGACCTAAAAAATTTCTAGTGGGAAGGAGGAATGACAAATCTCAAGTCCTGATCTATCAAAGGAAGTCTACATTTGCTCCCAACACAGCACTTTCACTTTAAAGCAAATGCAGACCCTCAAAACCTAATGGATTGCTCTCCTTTCAGAATAGGGCTCTTTGTAGTTATTTGTGGCTACCTTGTGCCCTCTAGTGGCCGACAGAGGCATGTCTCTTTCACTCTGACAGCTTCACACACAAATGCTATTGTCAGCGCCCAACCAATCCTCCTTATTACATCATGAATTTTGATAAGCCCATTAGCCAGCCAAGCAACCAGGAGGAGAATGCCTTTCTCACTTGATGACTACACAATGAGGAGTAATATATTTTAATTTAAACACCATAAACCTATTGAGTGCTTAATTAACTTTAACCGTCTTTAGGGGAATGAAGCCAATTTGAGGGGGTCAAAAGGAGTTGTTTCAATATCAAACAGTTTTACATAGTCAATCCATTCATTCGGCCTAGAGCTACTGATTAACACACAAAATTAACATGTTAGTAAAAATTCATATTCCAGCCCCGGGGGAAATTAAGATGCACATGCACACAGCATGATTAGCACAACTATTGTTTTCCCCCAACAATATAATTTAATGGGGTTTTAGAAACACAGAAAGGGAGCCTCAGTGCTGGTTTGAGTTGATTATTTGCTGCAAAGCTTTGAAATCTAGAAAAGAAGGGGGGAAACATAGCGAGCCAAAAAGAGCTGGCAGTGGAAGTTAGATGGAAATGGGGAGTCTGCATTTTAGAGGGATTTGGTTTGAGGGAGAGAATAAACAGTGAGACACCTCTGCTTCATGCATCATGGCCTCGCAAGGCATGTAACAGCCCTCTCTCAGGAGCCATCAGCCTTTCTTCTTGGTTTTGGCGGCTTCCTCCACTTCCCTCCTCTATGTGGCATGAGAGAGTAATTTTGCATTGTCTGGCCTGTTGTAGCTATTGATTCACATCTAGCAAGCCAAACTCCCAAGGATTGTAATGGTTTAGGACTACTGCACCCTCAGAGAATTCACACTTCTCAACTTCCTTAATGTGCAAAATGCTACCCAAAGGCCGCTCCATAAACAATAAGAGCGAGCAGATTGGGAAATGAAGCGAGTGGATGAAGGGAAGGGGATGAAGGAGGGAATTAGAGTCATTTGAGCTTATTGCTAGTTTCACAGGCTGAGCTGCAGTCAAGTCAGGTAGATGAAGCATCCAGCTTTAAGTACACGGGGATCCCATTAAAGTTGGATGGCGGCATCTGGCTTCAGTCCAAGGACATTTTGTGTCATGGAATTATGGACAGGGTTGTCTGTGGGTTATTCAAGCAGCTGTTTAACACTTAGCTTTATCAGACTGGGAGGGAGAGTGTGGGCAATACTAAGTGAAATTTGAAAATCTCCTGTGATGGTTATGGCACTGGGCACTGTATTGTGTCTCTGCCTTCTTCAGTGGAAATACTTAGGAGAATAAGCAGTCTCAGCTGGTTGTACTGTACAGGCTCAGAGGGCTGTCCCAGGTTCAGAGCTTGGTAATTCATCACCTTTTCCTCTCCCAAGGAATTACAATGGAGTTTTCCTGACCTCACTCTACCTCCATGCTACCTCTGGAGCATGCAGGTGCAGAGAAATAGTCTAGTCTAGAAGAGACAGGAGGAATTGGAAGTCACAGTAAGTAAAACAAGAGTCACAGTAATCCCCTAAAAGGGAAGGGGCTTTTTTCTGGTAATGGACCAATTTCTCCAGGGTTGGAAGCTGCATGTTGATCACATATAAAAACAAACCCAACACTGAGTGGGATCAGAATGCTAAGGATGCCATTTCTTTTCCTTCTGCATCCTTCTCATCTATCAGGAGAAGCTCAGATTGTCATTTTCAGAGCACTGAATAGATCACTGCAATTGGATTTTGAAATTAGGCTATTGGCAGCACAGAGTCCTACAGCAAACGTTTGCTCAACTTTATACTAAAATATTACTTTAGTTGTGTCTCCAGATCTTTCCAGAGGTGACCACGACAACTTTCCTTCCAGGTCCATGATGGTGATGGTTATTTAACCACAAACACTGGAAATTGCTTTATGCTGATTCCACCTAACCCAGTGTTTTCAGTTTTGATTCACAGCAGCTCATCAGAGTTCCAGGCCAAATTCTTTCTGGAGATCCCTGATGGTTTCCAGTCCCCAGTGCTAACTAGTCCTAGCTCTGCTTAGCTTCTGATATCAAACAAGACTGATCAGTTCAGAGTACTATGATGATATGTGGATGTGAGTCTGTTTGGCCCCTTGAATTTCTATACCTCTTAAATTTATCTATTTAATGTCTCAAAGTGGTGTACAAAAAGCTAAAACCATTAAATGCCTTTTAAAATGCAAGCAATATAAAATAAAATAATCAATGAAAACCATAAAGCTATCATAAACATATTGAATGTTGTCTGATTTCAGATGTTAATCTGGCTAATACTTGGATGAAAAAGCATCAAGGAATTCCAGGGAACTCAAGGTAGGGATTGGAAAGAATCCTGCCTGAAAAACCCTGTAGGGATTCTATTAGTCAGAGCTGACAATAGAGAATAGAGAGAAGCTAGTAGGATCTCTTAATGATCACTTGGGTCTATATTGAGAAAAGTAGATGCCAATTACATGGTCTCACATTGTTCCTTTCTCCACCCACTGAGCCTTGCCCCACTCATGTCTTCTCTTCCACTGAGCTGCAGGCTTCTAAAGGGATAAGGGTGATCACCACAGCCCATAGACATTTGGAAGCAATAGTGTCATCTCCCTTAGGATTCCTCTAATGTCACTCCTGGACCCAGATGCTACATTCTACAAGAACTACTGCTTCCAGACCAAGCCCACAGATGGTATCCAGAAATCCGATTACAGTTATCTAGATGGAAAGTTATCACTGCTTGAACCACTGTGGATGGGCTACCTTTATCCAGGAAACAGTACAGAATCTACCTCAGTAGTGACACCAAGGCAATGCCTCCCCAGAAGAACTCATTGGGTCCCTATATCTGTCACTGGCTTAAGACTCTTTATTCTCCCAAGCATTTTACACATTGGTCTTTGTGCTTTTAGATCTTGGCACTGCTGGTGGTTTTACTTGATTCTTGCAGTATTTATGTTGCAGTGTTTTTACTCTCTGCTGCTTACCACAAACAGTGCTAATTTGTTTATTATTTCATTCTTAGATCTTCTGTCTGTCTGTCTGTCCCTATCTGTCTCTCTCTATCCATCCATCCCATTGTACACCACTAAAATAAATCCTGTTATTGGACAGTATAAAATACAGTCAATCAATCACAATAAAAGCAATGGATGATATGACAGTATGGCAAACAATTTCTTGCCCTCTGTAATGAATTAAAGTAGGGGTGAGGAATGGATGGATGTGACCATCATGCCATGTGTTTACTTTCCAATAATAGACATTGATTACCAGAAAACTGTGGGTCCTTAAACCAGGTGAGGGACCTTTCTTCTGTTTAGTTCTGCTTTCCTTATGGGGAAGCCTGTTGAGGCTGCATGAAAGTGATTTATTGTTGTATGCATTCAAGTCATTTCTGATGGATAACGGCCCCTAAGTAAGCTATCATTGATTTTCTTGGCAAGTTTCTTTGGGGGTCGGTGGGTGTGCCATTGCCATCCTCTGAGGCTAAGGGAATGTAACTTGTCCAAGGTCACCCAGTTTGTTTACAAGGCTGAGTCAGGATTTGAACCTTGGTCTCTAGAGTCATAGTCCAGTGCTCAAACCACTACACCACAATAGCTCTCATGAAAGTGGTGGGTGGAGCCACAGCCGTTGGTTGATGGGACGTGAGTGAAACATGAGCCCTTTTACATCACATAATTCCATTTTAATCGCCATGGCAACATCCTATAGAACCCAGGGACTGCCAATTTAGGGAGGGGAATTTAGGAATCTCTGACAGATAGCTGTAGTTCCCCACCAAACTGTAAAGCCTAAATTCCACAGGATACAGCTAAGGCATTTAAAATGGAGTAATGGCACTATAATCATTTAGTGTGAAAGGGCTCTGTGCTTCCCCACCCTGATAGTGTGTGCAGCAGTTGAAGATCCTGATTAAGGAGTAAAGACACCAATGTCTTCGAGAAACAAAGTAGAGGTTTAGAAACTCCATTCTAAGATAGGAAAGTTACATAGGATGCTAATATAAACTAGCTCCATTCTAGAGAAGACCAGAGAGGGGACTGATAGGAAGAGAAAAGATGGAGAGTCATACATAAGAGTATCAGTTTACATCACAGAGAGGTCAGAATAGGCAGACAAGGAGATAGGACACTTTTGGGTCACTCAAGCTATCTAATCTTTTACTGCTGCCCATTTATGGTATTCTTCACCACTGCCTATTCTGACCTCTCTGTGATGTAAACTGATATTCTTATGTATGACTCTCCATCTTTTCTCTTCCTATCAGTCTCCTCTCTGGTCTTCTCTAGAATGGAGCTAGTTTATATTAGCATCCTATGTAACTTTGAACTTGTTGAACTTCTAACAAACCCAACACGTTGCCAGGGCACAAACTAACTGCTCTTGCCAGAGCTCAGAATTTAATGTCATGCTTTTCAAAGTAGGCCATGGGATGCTTGAAATTTGACCAAGAGTCAACTGTGGCTTTCGGGCCACATGTTTCCCATCCTGATTTAGGAATTGTGTGAAATTACTAAAATCTGAGGTCCATGTCAGGAGTTACTCCAACCACTGATTCATCCCTCTCAGTCTTCTCTTCACCAGGCTGAACGTTCTCCACTGTTCCTCATGTCTTTTGTTATCCATACCTCTTATCATCCTGGTTGCCCTTCCCTGTGTAGCCAAGAATCCTTAGGGGAATTTTATTGTTGTTGTTATTATTTGCAAGAGGGGCTGGCTACAAGAGCCCAACGAGATCGCCC